AGGAACTACCTACACTTAGGCATGGGGGGACTCTCCCAGAGGATCTAATGGCAACCCCCAGGGGGAGCTGGCAGTGACGGGAGAACTCACCCAGCTCTCCAATCCAGCGTCCACTCGGCCTTCCAATGTGATTGTTCCAAGCACAAATGCACGCATGCTGCTCTCCCTGCTGGAACCCCCCAGTGGTACCCACTGCCCACTGCACAGCGCCCCTTCCTCTCTCTGTCCTGGAAGCCTCTGTGGCCTGGGTGTGGCTGTGCCCTTTTTTACAACCTCTGCTTCCCTGTCAACGAGCTACTCGCCACGCCCTCTGGGGGCCGTCATCTGGCTACAACCTTTAAGCTTCCGCCCCAGCATTGGCTCCTCCCAGAAGGTAGAGGCGCCCACCACGAGCGGGATACTGTCCCTCCGCTGTGCCCCACAACACGTTAGACGCTCTTATTCTCCTATATGAGAATAAGAGGGCTTCTGGAGCCCTCGTCCTCTCCCCTGTGAAGTCCTCAAAGGCAGAGGCAGTAGGTTATTTGTGTCAGTAACAGGGTCTGGTTGGTCCTGCCCAATCAGAGCAAGTGGTTAGTATCTGGTGAGTGACTGTCCGGTGGCCAAGGCAGCTCCGGCTGATTGCCAACCTTCGAGTAACTAAGGGTGCCAGTGGACCTGAGCCACGGCCTCAGCAACAGCAAGTGGGGCCATCCCCAACAGGAGGAGCAAGTCCCACAGGGCCACCGGCATCAGCCAAAGCCGTTACATCTGCAGCGAGAACCTCAACAGGGCAAGGGGGTCGGAGCTGAATTACAGATGAAAGGGAATACTGATGGGAGACGGGAGATGTGTGGGGGTTCCTTTATTACTGGCAATGAGAAAGGACTCTCTGCCTCAGAACATGACAGTCCAGACGCTCCCCCCTATCATATTTCAAAAATAATCCACTCCCGGACAATCTGAAGAGATTCCTTCTCGTTGCAAGGGAAAGGGGGGGTGTGGATTCCAGGTCAGGACACTTATGGTTTCCAGATGTTTGTAGTTCTGGGATTTGCTAAAGGATTTCCAGAGCAGCTGTGCGGCAGCATCGGGGGCGGGGTGAGCGGAGTGGGGAGAGAGAAAACAGAAAGCCACGCAGCAGGAGAAGGAACTCTTACAGTCACGGGGGAAGAGAGCATCTTTGGAAAATACCTGGAGGAACTGGCTACAGACTCTCACTATCACCACAGAGCCTTAGAAGAAACGCTTATGAAATAGAGATAGCTGTTCATTTTTATTTTGCCAGAGAGAAAAAGCAATCCCAAACGAGGCATGGTCACGCTGCAACCCCTTCACCGTTTCCCCCTCCTTCGGGATTTTGAGCATGCACGTGCACTCACCCGCATGTTTCTCAGGCCACCAGGGGCCGAGATTCAAACTGTGATCTGCCACCTGAGATCTAGTTGGATTAACCGCCAAGCCCTAGGGCAGCCTGAGATATCAGTCCTTACATGAAGACCGTGACACTTTCCTGTGATGAACAATGAGTTACTGTGACAGCAAAATGAGACCACGCTTCTGAAACACCGGCCAGGTTTTGCCCTCCACTAGTGTCAGAAGCCAGCTGTTCCTCCAGAC